AGGTAATAGAGCATCTATCGTCTATCTCCCTTTTTTTTTTTGTTGAAGGAAAGAGCATCATGCCGTCTACCATGTTCTTTAGTATTTAAAATTCAGATTTGTTTTTTAACTTATATATTGGATTTCGGTGGTAGGTGAAAGTGAAATAAACACACAAAGTCAAATCTCAACGAATCTTTTCTTAATTCTTCAATGAGGCAAATGATTATGGATACAACTTTTATTTATTTATTTTTAATCATTATGGATGATGCAAAGCAGACGCTCTTATTCCCCCCTATAATCTATTGCCTAACGGACCATGACATCTTTGGACAAATAATGTTTTTTTTTTTTTTTGGTCAATGACCAAATTGATTTTCGATAGCTATGTTTTTGGTGAGGCAGGCAACCATAGACAATGAAGTATGAAATTTATTATAAGCATATAAAGAAGACGTATGAACGAGATCCAGCCTAATACAGACGGATGATGGTTAATGCAAGAAACATGTGTTTCCCTTCAAACAAATTCAACTCCATATATTTGTTGCGATATGACTTTCTTTCTTCTATTAAAGGCACTTGTAAGGTCCATATATCTTACATCGTAAGTTAAATCAACAATAATCGTATTTATCATATTAGTTTTCATGTATTTTTTATACAAATGATATTCTATTTTAATTTAATCTAATCTATAAAAAGGGGATTCGAACTCATGTGCAGATGGGGGGTACATCTGCTATAGCTAACTTGACTAAGTCCATATTTACTACTAATTATCATGTATTTATACTTCGGGAATTTGGTTCTAATGAGCATTTGTCGCATTTCCAATCAGAAGTAAGGAACGCTCATTCCATACACATGACTTGATTCATAAAAGATCATTACAAAAATTTATACATGGAATTTGAACTGAAAAATCCTATTTAAAAAGTGAAAACTAAACACCGCTATAACAAATTATATTATTAGGCTCTTAAAATTTCTAAGCTGAACATATTTGAAGTTTTCTTTAGTATGCTTGCAAATTGCAATATCTTAATCATAATCTACCAGCCTCTGATTTTGAATTAATCTCACAATTATGATCGTGGCAAACATTTTGGAGTCATAATTTTATTACAAATATGGACAAGGATAAATAATGAAATAGGCTGACAAGTGTTTAAAGGTGGGACACGTGTAAATTATTTTCTTCTGTTGAATGACAGAGCAATACCATACAAATTTAATTATACTGATACAACTGCAAACAAATTCATTTCAAAATGCTTTACGAAAAAGATAAACAATTTTTTTAAAAAATAAATAAATAAAAGAAGGGGGAAAAATAGTATTTTTGTATTGAAAGTTGAAAGTGCCGGGTCATCTGCTAACTAAATATTTAATCACCATCAGCTATCAATTAGCTAGCTAATAGTTGGAGACCACGCTTTTGTCTCTGTACCGTGTAATATCAGAAACCTCCACGTTTGCATGGAGAGATGGAGACCCATAAGGACGTGGCCTCCTCTGCTTGTTCTTAGTCTTGTCGGTGGTCGGTGGCGTTTTTGTTGACTCAGCACCTCCCTTTGGAAGCATCCTACAAGCTCTGCAACTAGACTCACTGCTTCATTGGGCTGTAGTTTTCTTTTCTTTTTTGGTTGGTGTTTATTGGGCTTGAGTATGTTCCAAGCCCGTTGATAGTAGGGTTGCTTCATGTTCATTCTCGTTTTATCGAGTCGATACGTTGAGATAGACCTAACTAGTCCGTAACATGTTTGATTCCGACCCAAATCCAAAAGGGTCACCTCTTAGAGCATTCACAGTGGAGAGGTGTATTTTTAAGGGTGTAAAGCCACTTTTACATTCCCATTACATCTCCGAGGGTTGTAAATGTGGTTTTTGCTCCAATGGGGAATATATAAATCTAAAGATGTATAATTTATTTTACTCACTTTTGTCCACCTTTTCTCATGCATGCCCCACCTACAAGGGATGTAAAAAAGGATGCACATGTGCATCTAAATCTCTCCATTGCAGGTGATTCCTATCACAAATTGTGTATATTTAACATACACCTCATTATACAACCGCTCCACTGGAGATGCTCTTAAGACGTTAATGGAGTTAATTAGTAGGACGACTGTGGGATGAATTGTAAATTCATATATCAGCTGATTGATTATGTCCACCTATGTGAGTTTTTGATTTAACCATTACACAACTTGTGGGGCCGTTTGTGTGACAAGGGTTTGCCTTCTTTCTTCTTTGGTGTATACCAACTTATGAGTTGTTCAAGAGTCCACAATAGGAGAGGAGGATTTATCCTTTATATTAAAAAGAAAAAGAAAAAGAAAATCACCACAATTTTCTATCAAATTTGTTCACTAAATAATGGCAAGTATGCATATTAGTATCTTAACTATTAGAACTAGTGAAGTTTAGACTCCCCACATCATATTTACTTGAAATACTACTACATCATATTCACAAATTTGAGTGAGTGTGGTATGATTGGCTAAAACTAGATTCATGTAAAATGTGATAATATTGAAACATGTATTATCAATCATTACGAGTAACTTTTTAATGTGATTGTCATACCGTCACATAGGATCACTAACTTATCTACATTACAACATATGTATTTTTATCATTTCATCTATGTTACGGTATGTTATATATTACATGAATCAAAAACATCACGTGAACTGGTGATTACGGTTAGATCAATAATTTTCATCTCTTTTTTTCTTCAACAAAAGTGGAGCTTTGGATTCAACTTTATAAGAAGTTTGGTAAGAAAACAGCAAAAGATAGATGTTGCAGGCCACACTACCAGACACAACACATGTGGCGTGTGAAAGAGAGAAATTATAACCCAATGATTGTGGTCTAATCCTTCGGAGGCAACTTGTTTTTTTCCCTCTCTATATTCTCTCAATACTTGCATGCATTCTCAGGGACCCCGATCTTTCCAATCTGTACATGGCAATGTAATCCCATATGATTCAAAACTAGAGGTGTCAAACGGGCCGTGTCGGGGCGGCCCATCCCATTTAAACCCGTGCTTTTAACTTTTTTGTGCCGTGTCAGGCCGGCTCATTTAATTTATCGGGCTGTGCCGTGTCGGCCCATTTAGTAAAATCATTGATCCCGGTCCCGCCCAAAGCCCATGTCCACATTGAAACAGGTCGGGCCGTGCTCATGCTCGTGCCATACTCAAACCCAAGAACCAACCCATTTAATTTGAAGTTTTTTCACTTGATTTATTTTTTTTCACTTGATAATTCAAATTATAAACATTAAAAATATAATTAGAGGCAAGAAATGATGAATTATTTGAAAACATTAATCAATCAAACATCCAAACAATATAAAAGGTGGAGGGAAAAAAATGTACAACTCCACAAAGTCCACTTCAACTTTTTATCTTTAAACAATTTATTATTTTATATGTGAAGAAATGTCTTGCTTTGATTATAAGATAATCATATATGTCATATGTACTGATTAGATATCAAGTCCAATGTTGTTAAATTAATTTGTAATTGATATGTTTAATTAATTAAGGATCCAAGAAATTTCCCTAAAATGAAAGACATCAAATATATGTTTATGATTATAAAAAATAAAAAAAAACCATATAAACAATGATATTAGATGTCAAATTTTTGCATTTTGACATTTGAGAAAGAAAAAAAAAAGTTAAGTGGGCCGTGCTTGAAGCGGGCTTGGGCTCGTGCCGTGCTTGAAGCGGGCTTGGGCCAAGCCCGGCCCATGTCGGGCCGTGGGCCAGTCCGGTCCATTGGACCTCATTTTTTATCCCGGCCCGACCCAAGTTTTCGTACCGTGCTAAACACGGCCCATTACTATTCGTGATCGTGCCATGCCGTGTCGTGCCTTATTTAAACGGACTGAGCTTGTATCGTGCTAGGCCGGCCCATCCCGTTTGACACCTCAAAACCCAAGTTCTTGTTTTGATGCTAATGGGATTCAAATGGATCCAGAATTGAGTAAAAGAAAACATTTCAAGTCACAATCCAAATGCCTGCACATCACGTTTTTTTGAAAAAATAATATTCTTTTTTGGGATAAGAATGTTACGTAGTAGAAGAGACAACAATTAACAAAAGGATGAAGCCCATACAACTATTAACAAGAAAGAAGAAGAAGACAAGTTGCACTTACACACCATCTTCATATAGATAGCTTTTCTATGTAAAGCTTTTTTCGTTTTAAAAGCCACAATGGGAAGGGTATGGCCATATAATGGCTATATATCTCCTTAGAGATGATGAGAGAGATAGAGAGAAAGACTATAAATCCATAACTGATGTAGAACAAATGGTTGAATGAATTGAAAAAGAATTGGAGCGAAGAAAGGAAAAAGGATGCAACATGAATTTACAGATTTGGTGTTTGAGCTCCGATTAGGTCACATAATACCTTTCCGAAAAGGAAACAACGCCACAAGTCCAACTCATTGTTTTTGCTTCTGAGATTGTTTGGGCTTCCAAAAAGGCATTTAAAGATTGTAATCAATTTACAGACTTTTCGTTTATTTTTTGTTACTTTCAATAACTCCCCATTGTAATCCAATGAGTAAGAATGATGTATTTAGACAGCCGTCATGTACATGAGAAAGATTTCTCACACACACACACACACTATCACAATGTCATGAGGATTCGAATTTAAAACCACTAGATTACAAATCAAAACCTTTTTTTTTTTTTTTTTCTTCTTCCAATAGACGAGATCTTATTGGCAAAATTATATTGCTTTTAAAATTGAAGGTTACAATAGTTAAAGAATGATCAAAATATGTCATTTGATAAATTCCCGAGAGAAAAGAAAGGGTGCGTGCGTGTATATCTGCTGCTTTGTATTATTGGGCATGTAGCTCTTCTTTATATGTACAACATTTGAGACATAATGATGATTACAAATGCGACCTTGAGACATAATGATGATTACAAATGCGACCTTATTTCGAGTTTAACGACAAATTTGTTTATATGCAACCCTCCAAACCAAAAAAACAAATCCACAAACAGAGACACTTGCAGAAACAAATTAAAAGCTGCCAAACCAAAAGCACTTGCACTCTGCTCCAGCTACCTATGCATACGTAACATCCTTTACCCATTTTTGCTTTCCTCCCCTTTCCAGAACAAAATCTTTTGTTTTTGTTTTTGTTTTATTTATGAAATTATAAATACCCCATTCATTATTTCTCTCTTCCAACTTCAAAATCATTTAAAGTCTCAGACTTTTCCATAAAAACCAATTCAACTGCAATGGATAACCACCGCCATTTTGGAGTTGATCATGATGGTGATGATATTGACGGTGATGATGAGTTTAGGTACCTGATCGTACGGCCAGAGAAGGGAGGACTCAGGGACTTGTTTAGGTACTCGGTGTTGCAAAATGTAGACAGTGGGGTTCGGTTTCTTGAGGGCTCAGACGAAGAAGTGGTGGGTAGAGTGGCAGGGGATCACAGATGGGTCATAGTGGTGTCCATAATTGCCCGGAAAATCATAGGCCTTTTTGGGAAGCCTCTGGAGTGGACTGGCTACCTTGTTGACTTCATCCTCAACCTCTTGTCTCTCAATGGAGGCCTCTTTGGCTTGCTCATAACTCTGCTTTATGGTAAACTCAGACACTGATCACATTTATTATTATTATTATTGCTACCCATTTGCTAATTTCTTCATTTTGTATTATGTTTGTGAGTTTTAATTCTCTATTTGTATATATCATTATGTTGTTGCCAGTGCACCCCACGTCCTAGGTTCAATTCCCCCTCCCCAATAGCGCTTGTATCAGAAAATCATGATGTTGCCCCTGTAAATTTGTTTGTGTTTAGGCCTCTTTTGGGTTGTTATTTAACTTTTACTTGGGAGATTAACTCATAGATGCATAATTACAAGAATTAAAATTACAGAATGAAAACATTGGAAACCATTTTCACTAACTAATGTGTTTGCCTAACTTGCTTGCTTTCTCTTCGTAGTGAATGGAATTTCTTGTTTACCAAAAATATATAGGCAAACACAAAACGTAAGGCTTTTTGGAAATTCTTTGCACATATCTTTTGTTTAGAATTTGTGCCTACCTGTATTGTATATGCCTTCATTCTATGGACAAAGGGTCTTGTGTACAAAATTTACAAATTTATGACCTTTTTGGGTTTTTCTTAATAAAAGGAATGTACTGCAAACTGTTAATTCTCAATTAATCCTAGTAATTGCTTACTGTAATGGTGATTGGGGAAGCAGGAAAAGTCGTGGTGCCGCAGAGGGGCACAGAGACTTTCATAAGTACAATTGGACATTTTGATGGGCGGACAGACCTCTACAAGGGTGAAAACTTAGCAGAAACAAGCCTAAAAGCTGAACTGGGTAACAACAGGGCTCTCATGGATCTCTGTATGATGGCTGCCAAGTTAGCATATGAGAATGCACAAGTCGTTAGATATATCGTGGTTGACCATTGGAAGGCAAGCTATTCTTGTTCTCTTCTCTCTTTGTTTTTTGGCTATGTTTTAACCATATAAGGGGTTCAATATACTTTCAGTTGATCATTATAAATACTAATTAGTTTAATTTTGACAATGAAAGCAGATGCATTTTGTGAAATTCTACAATTGCTGGAATGGTAAGAAGTGCATTTTAAACATGACTTTCGGTCATCAAAAATTTCGAACTTACTTTTTGAGTCCAATTGATGTTTGTTCTCCTTTATTGTATGGTGCTTGATAGATTTCCAAAAGCAGATGTCCACCCAAGTGTTCATGCTTTGTGACAAGCCTAAAGATGCAAATTTGATACTGATCAGCTTCAGGGGAACAGAACCTTTTGATGCCGATGATTGGAGTGCCGATTTTGACTACTCTTGGTATGAAGTTCCCAAATTGGGGAAAGTACACATGGGATTCTTAGAAGCCTTAGGCTTGGGGAATAGAACTAATGCTGTAACCTTCTACAATCAACTCATAGAGATGCAGAAAGAATTCACCTCTGCAAATTGTGTTGATGTTAGCCAAAGATCTTCAGAAGGTTCCAAAGCATCATCCTCAAACATTGATTCTCACATGAAACAAGGTGGAGGTGATCGGTTTAGCAAGAAGATAGTTCCACCAGACATGGGGGAGAAGTCTGCATACTATGCTGTGAGAAGAAAGCTCAAGAGCTTACTTGAGGAGCACAAAAATGCAAAATTCGTAGTTACCGGGCATAGCCTAGGTGGGGCACTTGCCGTACTGTTCCCATCAGTGCTGGTGTTGCATGAGGAGATGGAGCTGATGCAAAGGTTGCTGGGTGTGTACACATTTGGGCAGCCCCGGGTAGGTAATAGGAAACTGGGGAGGTACATGGAAGCCCATTTGAATTCTCCGGTCCCAAAGTACTTCAGGGTTGTCTACTGCAATGATCTTGTGCCCAGGTTGCCTTACGACGACAAAACCTTCTTGTATAAGCATTTTGGGGTGTGCCTTTACTATGACAGCCAATTCAATGAACAAGTATGTATTCAAGCCTTTGCTAATTTTAGTACTATTGATTGTCCTCATATTCAATCCTGTCCACCGAATGCTCTGTAAACTAGTCGCCTGAATAATAAGAAATTTGCAGCATTCTATCCTGCATTTCCTTGTTGATATGAAATGTCACTACGGACACATGCAACATGGTTATTAAGATTAATGGCGCAATAGAAAGTTGCTGTTTGATTTAAATTGGTTCATCGGGGACATATTGGTATGAGGGAATGTACGTTCATTGTGGGGTTGATGTCTTTCAAGGCCTGAAATGAACCCTTTAGCTAACTTTCTTCAAGTTTCATCTTCTTCTTTTACTGAATTATTGTTTTCTTGTTTGACATATGCATCTTTCAAGAGAATGGAGGAGGAACCAAACAGAAATTACTTTGGAATAAGATATCTGATACCAGAATATCTGAATGCTGTTTGGGAGCTGATAAGAGGTTTAACAATGGGCTACACATATGGACCAGAGTATAGAGAGGGTTGGTTCTCCATTTTGCTAAGGATTATAGGACTGGTGGCTCCTGGTGTCTCTGCACATTGCCCTACAAATTACGTCGATTCGGTGAGGCTGGGAAAGGAGCGCATTGTTCAGATGTCTTCTTTTTAAGAAGCTTTTCTTGCAGATGATGATAATATGGCTTTTAGTCATATGATAAATATAGCTCTGGCTTTAGTGTACAAGTAATGTACCTTGTGAAGTTCTTTTTTACGGTCAAATTCCTTGTCACTAATAAAAAAAATGGACCTAATAATTCCTTACCCACAATTTAGGTGTATTCTCATTCCTAAACTGTAGGGATTATTGATGAATATATTTTAGGTGCCTTGAAGAACAAGTACCCTAAGTTTATCTTCCTCTCTTAATCATGCATGAAAAAGAGGTTGAAACACTAAAAGTACAAAAACTTCTATTTATGTTATATGCAAAGATTTTCTAGGTTTTTTAGGTTTTAGACATAAAAAAATTTTCACTTTTGGAAAAAGCCAAAGCTTTTTCAAAAAAGACAAAAAAACCACTCAACTTTCAAATCAAAGACATGCAAATGTATTGGATTCCTTAGGAAATCTAAAAATAAATAAGGGCATTTTTGTCCATTTTTGCTTCTTTTAAAATTTTTCTCTCTCCTTTTGCTTTTTCCAAAATGTCCCAAGATTTCTGCCACTATAATTTTAAATGGTTATTCTTTTGAGCTGCACGTAAGAGTAAATATATATATATATATATATATATATATTGGCAAAATATGGACCATGTTCGAAAATCACTAGGCGGTAAGTGGGCGGCATGTAGGGGCCTAGCCCTAGAGGAGTAAGTGGGCGGCATGCAGGGCTAGCCCTAGAGGAGTAATCGGGGCCTAAGCGTTTCTTTGTTTATTAATTATTTTATATTATAAATTATAAATTATAAATTTATACCAAAATTAATAAAAGGGTTGAAATAAAAACACAATTGGGTTATGTTTTAGTATATGAGCCCAAGCCCATAAGAGAACCTTGTTGAAATACCAGCCCATAAGTGAAACACAGCGTTTCACTAACCCTATCTTCATCTTTTTTTGGACGAACCCTATCCTCACTTATCTCTCATCTCTCTGCCTCCATCACCTCCCATCATCTCTCCTCTTTCTCTGACTCCATCATCACCTCTTGCGCGCGTTTGAAATAAGATGAGCCCAATAGCAGCTACAAAGAAAAGAAGAAAACCTCTGACGAGTAGAGAAGAAGCCGTCGTTGCCACTGGTTGGGTTGAGAACAGTAGAGAAGCAGCCACCCAACCTGCCTAACTCCCTGCCGCCTACCCCTAACGATTGGGTGAAATCGCGGCAGTGTCCTCCCGCCTCGGCCGATTTTTCGAAAACTGAATAGGAACCCCATGTGATGTGCTGGGAATATAAGCAGAGGATTGTGAGGAAAATAACAAAGTTCTTTCATCAAACCAAACATAATTATTCAAATAAAACTAACTTTCTGGATCATGCCATTGCTAATTAATCCCTTTAAATAAATTACAAGTGTTTTAGAAATAATTCCAGTCAAAATCACAATGTATGCAACTGTCATTAACTTGAAAACAAACATAATTATCCTTTTTTTTTTCTTTTTTTTTCTTTTTTTTCTGGTTGGTTAAGAATGTATAATGTTATGTAGACAGTAGATACAACAATCTCCAAGAAGCAAAACACTTGACACTTGCACCTAATAACTAGCTCTTGATCTCTCTCTTCTTAGCCTTGAAAGAGGTTAGAGGTCTTAAGTTCGAAAGAGGTTAGAGGTCTTGAGTTTGAATTCGCAATTTTCATTGAAGCCAAACTATAAAAAGGGGTATTTGGGGCATGAAGGTAATTTCAAGCTCTAATATCTAGACTAAATGTGACACTATGATCAAAACCCACCTGAAAAACACACATACATAGAAGCAGAGCACTTGCATCCTGCAGCATGCTGCTAAATGCAAACTGCAGCTTTGCCATGCTAGTGGTGGATGCACATGTAACAGCCTTTGCCATCTTTGCTTTTCTCTTCTCTCTCTTTTTTCCCTTTTCCTTACAAATGTATAAAAACCCCATTCATTTCCCTCTTCGTGAATCTAACATCAAAATTCTCACAAAACAATCCAATGGCCACTAACTCCCAAGAGAACCAAAGCCATGGACTTTCTGATGATGATGATGATGAGTTCAGCTACCTTATGTTTAGGCCAGAGAAGGGAGGGCTTGGGACTTGTCCCATAATCTTTCTTTAAAATTTCATCTTCTTCAAGTACTGAATTTTCTTCTTCTTTTCTTTGACATATGCATACTTGAAGAGATTGGAGGATGAGCCAAACAACAATTACTTTGGATTGAGATACTTGATGCCAAAATATCTGACTGCTGTTCGGGAGCTGATAAGAAGTTTAACAATAGGCTACACATATGAACCAGAGTTTAAAGAGGGATGGCTCTCCATTTTGGTAAGGATGACAGGACTTGTGTTTCCGTGAAGCTTGGAAAGGGGCACACGCTAATCATTCAGATGTCCTCTTCCTAAATTATGTTTCCTTCAAATAATGCTAGATTTCTGTTATTAAGTCATGAGGTCAAGTGATTTGAATGCCTTCAGCCTTGGATCATCATTTGATAATATGGCATTGCATTTGTGGTCCAAGAGTGTTTTATATTGGTTTTGGTTGAACACTGATTTTGTTGTTGAAAAGAACGTGGAAAGGCAGATCTATCTACTCATTGAAGAATTTGAATAGATTCACCAACAGATAAATTTAGATGCTGTCTGTGGATTGTCCAAAGTTAAAGAAAAAGACTAGAATATTTTCATTCATGTTCAATCTTTGACATGGTACCAAAAAAAGGAGCAACAATCTTCACTGGAGTGGCTACAAAATTCAATGTGTATTTCTCTTATGCAAGAGCAAACCATACATGTTATACCAAAAAAACACCAAAAGGGAGAAAAATTCCCCTGTTTGAGGTGGTTTATTAGTTTGAAGTTTCCTAATTATTACACAAAAACAGTTGGTCCTCTTGTACATATGAAAAATTGCAAGAAATAAATACTAGGAAAATGCATTCCTTACTTTTAGCTCCCAAAGAATTGACAAGCATTACATAGATCACCTATTTCCATCCCCAGAAACTCTTGTAAGTTGTAACCAAAGGTCAATTTCTTTTGCAGATGCCCAACATCAATCATGGGAGCAACTGCTGATGAGTTTCTTTTCACCGGAAAATTGAATGATACTATTTCCATGTATTGGCTTCAGACAGTATGGGCTGATTGAATAACACTCAAGTCCAGATTCTTGAGCCTCACTACAGATTCTACATGTCCTCTCAGAGTGTGTATCTCTCCCAGCCTGTGAAATTAATGTGGCATTTAACCAAGTACATATTAGCAAGATGGGATGAAATCCAACCTGTAAAAATGCAACAGAAAATGGCAGTTTGTATTACCTGGCTATTTCAGCACGCCGCCTGGCCTGTTCTGCGATCAAAGAAGATCGCTTGCCGGTCTTATTGATCTCCATGTCTGCCAACCCTTGTAAACTTCTCTGAGAAAGTACCCACTTGGCTGCCCTATCTTCCTTCCCATAATCTTTCTTAGAAGTGAAAGCCGTCTGTTAAAGATAAAAAGTACATAAAAATCAGAAGTTGCCATTTCAAGCTAAGGCTTGTTCCTCATAGAAACAAGTGATGGCAGCAAATTTTAATGAAACTTAGAACATTGCACAAACCTTCCTGTCAAACAATAGATTCCAGGCATCTCCACTCAAGCCGTAGCGAATTGCAAATTTGATGATATCCAGGGGAATGTAGAAAATCAAACTGTACAACCATATGACACCAGCCCATCCCCATCCAATGCCACTGATATAAGCAAAGCTGATCTTTGCATATACAGCAATCAAAGTAGCCACCTAAACAAGAGAGAATTATTATTATTATTTTTAAATAAATGAAAATGTAATTCAGCTTTGGTTTTGTTATCGAGTTTAATGCATATATTTAAGAGTTGGTTTGCATAAGTCATACCAATTGAGCCAGCACAAATGCGCACATCAAGAGAGTTCCGGGCCTCTCAAGAAATGACCATCCCTGGCTTCTTGTAACAAATATGAGAGCCTGGCTAATGATGCTAACTTGCAGATATATAGCAGAAGAAATTTCCTCGCTGCTGGATAAATCTCTTACATGGAAGGTGGTCTGCAGCCATATAAAATCAATAAGCACTGTAGAAGTAAACCAAGCTAATGTATCTTCTGCAGTTCATGTTGCAGAGGGTCTCAGAAAACAAAGTCAAGAAGCAACATTTCTGTGTTTCATACCTCAAAGAAGTCGGTGCCGACTACAACCCAGTAAAATAATACAGTTACCAAAGCAAGATATGTGCCAATAACAATGCCAGTTGCAAATATCTCATTAAGCTTCCAACTGTCAGGCTTTGGAGAGGGTTTTACACGATCCTGGGAAATCGTCATGATGGTTCCTGCATTTAAAATAATGCACAGTCATGTACTCCTTTTCGATAATCAAGAAGAAGAAATAGTAAAGCTAGAGCTAGTTGAAATATTACCATCATTGAGTATTGCTATAATCAGAACCATGAAAGGTGGGAAGTCATATTCCCATATCAACGCAAGAAGCACGAAACCAAGCTGCAACACGATTGAGTTTAACATTATGAAAAGTTGAAACCTAGTAATGTTACTTGAATATTGAGATGATAAGAATATAAGCTTACCACTATCCTTATGGTTATAGAGACAGCATATATCTGTGTATGCAAGTAGGCTAGTCAGTTTTACCATCAAACCAATGTAGAAACGTAGAATAAAATTACAAATACAAACAAAAAATGCAAGTAAAAATCCTATATAGTAGAAATTGCAGAAAAGGCAAAGTAAGCACTGCTTTACGATTTTACTGCTCTCTACCTGGTATTCTACTGATACAAATGTACCATTATTTGAATGCAGGGAAAAGATTACTACTCACTGTATAATTCTTCATTCTTTGGAATATAGCTCTACTGGTCAGAACAGCACTGACAATCACACTTAAGCCAGGCTCAGTTAAGACTATGTCAGAAGCACTTCTTGCAGCATCTGTGGCATCTGCCACTGCTATACCAATGTCTGCTTTCTTTAAAGCAGGAGCATCGTTAACACCATCTCCGGTCATTCCAACCACATGCTTCTTTTCTTGTAAAATTTTTACGATTTCGTACTTGTGTTCTGAAAGTTAAAGCAGTGATAAGGCAGGTGAGTGATCCAGAGATGGAAATGCGTATGAAACAAATATGTGCTACAAATGTTTCATGCACGCACACCCCACCAAACAGTAACCTTTCATATTTTCAAGCCTCTCAAGAATTAGGGAGCCTTAGGGAGAGAATTTACGTAGGTGTTCGATTATTTACCAGGGAAGACTCCAGCA